AGGGGGGGGCAGTTGCCCCCCCTGCCCCCCACTTTCTCCGCCACTGACAAAATCTCAACATACAAATAGTTATTTTTTATACAAGACGATAAAATGGTGGTTTATCGTTGACCGGAAAAGTTAATTCACGAGCGGAATCGCGAGTGAATTCCAGGAGATTTTGGAAAACTTAGAAAGGTTATAACTTTTTTTCTATTATAGATAGAAAGCTAAAATTTTCAGCGATTCTCATCCCAGTAGAGGACTTTATTTTATCGCTCATCGGTAGTCTGTTAGGACAGACCACAAGAGATATTATCCCGAAGATTGCTGGAGGGAACTGGATGAGGACATCTATGGATGGATAGTCAGAAATTGAAGAGTCATCTACATACAGCAAAAGATGAGAACAGGATGATAAAAGAAGTCCAGTTCTCTCTAATCTCAATTGCAATCTTTCTCTTCTTCTGTTTGTATTTCATAATTTTCAAAATTACAATTTCTCATTCAGTCTTATGCCTTCTTGTCTTATTGTATGTCCACTACGCAATCTCAATTGCAGAAATGCGATTAATCTTTAATTTAAATTTCTTAAATTGGATCGCAAACCATTAGTTTTGATATCATCGAATTTGAAAACTTTTATAATTTCTTTCCTACATAAAATCGACCTTGTTTAATGGCTCAGGTAGCTAAAACCTTGAATTCAAATGCCATTTTTGGATTCAGACCCTGACATTTTGCGTCTCTATAGCCCAAAACGACATTACGTCTATATTAGCCGCAAAATGCCAGAACCTTTTTGGAACAGACTCGTTTTAAACAAAAGTTATGGTCGAAATTTAATTTAAACCACTCCATCTGGACTGTGAAGCGATAGAAATAATTGAAAGACATACACTTTCGACAGTTCAATAACCACATAAATATAAAAAATAATTTGTTTTTTTTTTGGCCGCATGTTTAATTTCAAAAAGTGCGTCGAACAGATTTTTTTAATAGCTAGAACACCATTGATCATTTGAATTATCTAATTTAAATTTTCAAAAAAAAAAAGCAGATATTCAATAAATTTTGTTATTGAATATTATTCTAATCAGAACCTATAGATGCCCTTATAACGTTTCCTATTAGTGCAACCTTAGAGTAGGTATCTTCACTCTACTCCAGCCTACTACCTATAACTGCTAATTTTTCCCCTAAAATTTTGAGTTGGGGTTTTATATTTAATACAGGGCTGTTTGCACACAGTTTGAGATTCCTAAGTTGCTGGATTGTCTCATTACCTGGAAACTTAGCTGGAACTGTATAGCTTTAAAATTCGGAACAGCATGGGTTTACGGTGTGTGTAGGTCGACATCAACAAATTTGATTTTGTATAAGAATTTTATTTTGAATAGCATGAATAGGAGGTTCCAGGTTGATTCTGTATACTCGAGCATGTTGTAAAACTATATACAGGGTGTCCCACGACGTTTTTCACAGGTAATAACTTCGGAACGCGTCATCCAATATAATTGAAATTTTGAGGAACTGGGTAACTTTTTGTGTCGCTTTTACCAATGTCATCCAATTTCACCTCCTTGGCTTCAATTTCGGTCGAGTGATGTCAACTTTCGAATATTTAATGTAAGTCATGGTATATAAGGGTATTTTTCATTAGAAAATTACATTACTAAATCGGCAATGCCATATTTGTTAAGGCTTTGTTAAAGAAAATTATGAAAAGTTACAGTGGATTGTGGAACATACGAAGGTGCGTTGTAAAGTTATCATTTGGGAAAAACCTCTTGGGATACCCTGTATATTGTAAATTATTTTTTTATTAAAATAATGAATTTGTATAATAGCAACTTGGGAAATCGTATGTAAAGTAATTTTCCAATATATCATTTTTTTCAGGCAAAATTTTCAATGTAAGTAACATAAACATTACAGTTTATTTTGCAAACTGGATTAACACGCCACATTATATGTATTTTGTGTGGTTTTAATCTTAAAATATCGCTTTAGAATGTATTATTATAAGAAAGCGAGTGCTAAATACCCAAAAACGACTTTTTAAAATAAATTATTTACGAGAACATGAGGTCATATAGTTATTATAGTTGCATGGTCGAAAAACATGTGCCAAGTTTTGGTTTGACCGGCGATAACGGACAACATTATTATGTCAAGCTTCATTATGTTTATTGCAATAACAGAAATGTTTCAAGTCTTAAATTTTCACAGTTAGTTAAAAAAAACAACACCGTCTAAATCTATACAAGATACAAGACTTCTTACAATTCAATATAGATAGAAGTCGTTCAACCATTGTATATTTACTATTTAATAGCAGTTATTGTTTAAAATAGCGTAGGTGCTTATATAGGTAGATAAAATACTGCATAGCTTATAAGTTTTGACATATTATAAATGCATGGGAAACTATTTGATACTAATTTGTAGCCGCCGTTATGAGGCTGAGACATGTTTCCTTATTGGGAAAGTGTTAGGAGAAAATATTCTCGTGGGTTTCCTAATTGCGTTAATTAACATTATGTGGCAGTGCTATTAATTAGTTTTTATACATACAAAACTTGTAAAAAATACAACTTAATGTTTATAGCTCAAGAAATGTTTGCTTTCTAAATACAAAACTTGAAACTCAATGAGGCTGACAATTGGAAGTCTCTAAAAATAACGTCTCTTGCTAAGTAATGAGTTTTCTGAAATTGGATCGTTTTAGACTTCAAGTGTATTGACCGTAACTTTTGTTAATTACCGCAAAGTTATAAAAGTTATTATAGTTTTGAGAAAACTCCTATATACATACACAAAATATCTCAGTTGACTCAGTTACAATGAATTTAGATACAAAATACTCAAAATACATAGTTGTATGTTGCATTGCTGAAGTTAAAAAAAGGGCTTGTGGTGGAATACAAAGTGGCATTTCCTACTATAAATTCAAATTATCCCAGTAGTTTTCTACTTGGAAACAGACCTAAAATATCATCCCATTATGCTTGCCTCTTCACTTAATACTTTAAACCCACACTTAAAAGCCTGTTTCCACCATTACAATTCTAGGTACTGTCATTGTTTTTTGCACTGATGGCCTTTTCTTGCTTCGTGACTAGTACCATAATAAAAAAAATGCGTACTGCGGCGTACCTACCTTTCCTTTAGATCTTTGTTCTTTCGTGGCAGATCTGCGATAGAGTAGATTTAAATGAATCTCTCGAGGGCTTTTAATATCAATTTTAGCTGAATCTTCTTCTGGAACTAAATGAACATACTTTGATGAATCCTTTGTCTCTTCCGAAGATTACCACTCATCAAAAACTTGAACAGAAGCGGCCTTTGTAAAAACAAAACCGCGTTTTTAGAGTCGTCATTAAGCTCAGGTGCAAAGAATTAACTTTTTAACTTATTCATGTTTGATTTATACCATCATTCAACTGATATAAAAAATCTACAATGGATTCCTTTATACAAAAAGCATCGTAAAAATTAATCTCCTATAAAGGAACCAGCGGGTGTGGTCGAGCAAGCTATAAAACCCACTAAAAACCTATTAGTTGCGGTACTTTAGGATAGGATAAAGCCGCCTTATATAATTTTTGAGGGAGTGTAGCATTTATTTTAAATATAAGTTTAAACTGGGCTAGAAAAATAAACAAATTTGCGGAAACCCAGATGCAAAATTAACTTACGTGCGTGTTTAACTTTAGCTATCAGCACGCGTTTTCTCAAAGTGAAGGATTTATGTCTTGTGTGTTATTCACGGTTCTGGAATAATTATTATTGTGGGTACTTAAAATAAGCAAAGATTTCGTATGCAACGCAGGTGCATGGTTTGAATTGTTTCAAGCTCAACATAAAGGAGCACCAATTAAGCCCAATTCCCGATATCGATTACAGGGCAGCAGAACCAAAACTAAAGTTCATTATATTTATAAAACAGCTTGACCAAAATAAATTAACCGGCCTATTAATAACGTATTATTCATCTGAAGAACCAGTGCTCGTATAATACACAATTACCGAGCAAGCGGGCGGAAAAGAATCTGTATGATGAAGCTGTGGGGAAAAAAGATAATTATCAGTTTTTGCTTTAGTTCTTCTAGCCAATTATATACAGTTTTATGTATTAAATTAAGTCATTAGTGAAGACGAGAATGGCTTTATTGTGTGGTGGTTTTTGATCTTGATACAAGAATATTAATAAATACACTTTAAGTGGGTATTGTTTGTGTAGAGGTGAATCAGGCAGTTTTATTTTATTTGGAAATTTGCACTCTTCATGTAATCTTTACTTTCTTGCATGGACAGATAATCAAAACCCTTCCAGTTTCCAATCCAAAGTGAGTTCAAAGAAGTTGATGACAGATTATTTGTAGGCATTTGATTACGCAACTTTTTCTCCATTTGGTCCACCCTGTATTTTCAATTTCAATGGTTTCCGAAATCCCCTATCTATTTCAACTTATTTCGGACACCATATGTATAATGAGAATATTCTGCTGGAAATATCTTCAAATACTCTATGATCTGAGCAAAGTTTAGTATTGGTAGCTCATCATCTAGAGACACCATCAATTTATTAATTTTAGTTTGGTATACTTGCGTAATCATTACCAAAAAAATTCTGCAGGAATAATCAATCAATCGACCAGCTTCGAATAGTTCAAGATGCATCCGAGCCATAAATAAAAGGGTAATTAAAATAACTCCTAAGCGGAAATTGGTACTTTTATTGATACTATTGGCTGCCTCACAAAATGATTGTTGTAACACATAGCCAAAATAACTTAATTAAGAATTCAGCCGAGTATCAAATAACTGAATATAAGTACCACACGGTTGAAATATAATATTTTTCTTGTATTTTATAATTCTTGCATGAAGAAATCATCAAAATGTAACGCCTTTTGAGTTATAGCAGATGGGCATTTATGTAATTTTACGATATAACTGTGTGTTTCAACTTTGTTTTGGAATATTTACTTAATGGAACTATCAAAATTACTTACAAAGTAACAGTTTTATCAGATATTCTGGGTACTTCGGCAAGTTCCAATTTCATACACCTCACCGTTTTCCTGAAACAGTAACATTCCTTCGGGCATTTCAAATACGAATAATTTCTCCTTTGACCATTTACAATGGCAAATATCGCGAAACAAAACACGAATAGTGTACGCATTTTTAGTTTTGTGTTTTTAAAACACTTTCTTCATTATTTTTGTTTTTGTTTAAAATTCCCGCGAAACTTTACGCGATTTGACCGGGTCGAGAATTTCGTAATGGTGTGTTGCTGCAATGGCTCGCTCAAATCTACTGAAAAAGCCGTTCGAAAGTGAAATCAAATTCAAGTTTAGCCGCGGATTCTGATGAAGAGATAGGAGGCTTTTGAAGCGCCTAAATTTAACGGGTTAGCGTTATTTTATGTTCGTTTCTTATAGGAATAACTACTGAAAAACATTTTCTTGCTAATATTTCCTTATTATTACTCATTTTATAACTTTCAATTTTTGTTTATTCCAGGCACTAGGCTGTTTGAAATCATTCTGGGATCTATTAAATTGTTCTAAAACCTTTCAAAATGGTGCTGGAAAGTGTTTTGGAACGTTCTAAATGGCTTATTGAAGTTCTAAAGTGTTCTAACTTGGCTTGAAGAATTTTGGACCATTCTTGAAGTTTTTCAGTACCTAATTTCTAACCTGTTCTGAAAGACTTTTAAGTATTTTAGAGTCCTATATTAAAGCTTCAAAGTGCTCTAAATTGGTTCAAAAGAGTTCTAAAAGGTTTCCAGTTGTCCCTAATTGTTCTAAAAAAAAGGTACGATCAATTCTTCCAAGATGCTCCTGAAATTTTTAACTTGGAGTCGAACTATTTTGGATGCTTAGTAATAAAGGTCTAAAGTTTTAGGATTCTGGTGCTTTTCAAAATGTTTCTGGAGATTCTAAAGTGAGTTTTGGAGCGTCCTTAAATGGGTTTCAAACTTCTTAATTGTTCTGAAATGCTTTTGGAAATTGTAAATAGGTTTTTGAATGTTTTGGGGCATTCTAAAATGGTTCTTAAATTTCCAAAATGTTCTCAAGCGCTACAGAATGCTTATGGAAATTCTGGAATAAATTTTAAGTGTTTTGAACTTTCCAAAAGGCTTATTACAGTGTTCTGTAGCATTCCAAATGGTTTTTAATAATTTTTAAATTGAATCAGAAACGAATTCTGTGGGAAATTTTTGTAGACATCTTGAAGACGTCGTATGTTATAAAACCCAACGTCTTTCAGACGTCTGCCTAAAGACGTCTTTAGGACTAAGAAATTCTGAAGACGTTTTTTGATCTTCAGACTTTTAGACGTATAAATTCAGACCTAAAAAAGACCTCTTTGAGACTTTGTGTGCGCTGTCTGGGTAGAGAATCTTTTTTTAGTGAAGAACTACAAAGACTATAGACATTTTCTCACAATAATAATCATTTAAAGTCAAAATCTCAACATGAAAACATTTGTAGTTAAATATTTTTGTTTTAAAGTTGGTAGGTAACTTTCAGAGCTGGCACAAGTACAATGATTATACTAATGTACTTATAGAGTACTTCCAAGTACAAAGTTCTCAAAGTTTTATAGAAGTAATACTGAAGTACAAAGTAATTTTTTTTCTCAAATGTATCCCAATTACCAAGTACTTGATAAAAGTATAATTGAAGTATTTCAAGTACTTGTACTTCAAATAGATTAAATAAATGGGTCTTTCTCATAAATATAAAACATGGATAAATTTGAAATCTAGTACAATGGAAAGTACATTGCTAAAAATAGTTCAAGCCAAGTATAAGTAACTACCGTTTATATCCACTATACTTCAAGTAAGGTACCTGCTTCAAGTACCTATAAGAACTTGAAGTACAATTTCAAGTATTTTTCTTGTATCTGACAGCTCCGGTACCTTTGAAGATAAATTTATAGAAACTATGAAAAATCATGTGTTAAATAGAATGATTTCAGATTTATAACTATTTAACTATTTCCAGAGAATCTCATGCTATATGCTATAATCCCTGGAAATTTAAATTTCCCTATTTGAAGTTATAGTTCCAGAGATTCCGTTATTTCCGCTGAAGAAAATTATCATTTCTCAATTTTTCCGCTGCACTTTTTTCAAACATTTCGGCTTCGAATCTCATGATAAATGGTTCACAGTATGAAGTTTGGTCGGTCCCAGTCAAAATCTCGATTGAGAAAATGGAAATTTCTCTTCGTTTGGGAAGATTTCTCAATAGCAAGTCACCCCCGTCCGGATTAAGCATAATTCCAGGGTAAACATTGCAACTGCGGACACGTTTTTCGGAGCTAAAACCAATCCGGAGGTGACTCGCTATTGAGAAAGATTTTGAATGAATAAGATATTTTTTCTTGATTGTGAATGAAAGTAAAAGGATATGTTGTATATGCACCCTGTCAGTAGGAAGGTTGAAAGTCTAGGACGGAACCATTCGCCAAGGGCCATGGCCCCCAAGTAGTGCCGATCTAACACCGTTGAATTTATTTTTCACGGATAGAATACAATATACTTAAACAACAATTATTTTAGACAAAATGTTCAGATTATCAGAAAAAATTTATGGAAGACATTCAGCAATTGAGCGAGGCTAATAATATCACTTTATTTGCATACAAAATTTGAGAAAAAGAATATAAGTTTTGTGTGGTGAATATATGGATGGCATTTTGAACAATATTTATGTTCTTCATTTCATATTGATAGATAGGTATCCCCTAATCATGCCTAGTTATGCTCGGCGTTTGTTACCTTGTGGCTTGAGGTGATTCGTATAGTGTCACTGGACTGTGGAAAACAATCTAATGGTGAATTATTTGAAAGAAAGCTATTCCCAGCTAGACATTAGCCAAACATTCAAAATCTTACAGTAGATACTGAAAAAGGGTCAAATAATATAAATAGGTACAATTTTTTTTCTAAAAAATGCAATATGTAAGTAACAGGGTGTCAAGTTATAAAGTACCACCACTTGTAACTTTTTCATATTTGATTGTACAGTTGCGATAAAAAAAAAGTAGTAGGTACAAAAAAAAATCTTCAAAATCTCCTGGTCTATTAGGCCGGCATAGACACACGTTCTTTCGCGCGGTTTATCGTGTCATCTGCAAAAACCTGTGAAAAATCATGTGCGTGAGTGAGGAGGACTACGCGAAATGATAGAATGGGAAGGGATTTCAGACGTGCTTTCATCTGGAATGTGATGTCTCAGTACTCAAGTACCTACATGATAGTGCAGTTCACAACCGTGTCCACACGCCATTTCACGTCTCGGTTTTGAGGCTAGTACGGAGACATAAACGCCGCGTAGCAAACTATCACGTTGAAAATTAGTACATGACAACATGCACTTCCAAACGACACGATAAATGACACTTTTTACCCATACACATACGGTTTTTCCTTTCCAACTGATACGCCGCGCGTAATCACGTGCTAAATCATTTGAATACTTATTTGTCAAGTGAGGTCGCCATACACACACGTTATTTCGCGCGGTTTATCATGGCGTGTTGGGATTTAGCGGTTTGCACGCGCGAAAGAACGGCGTGGCAAAAAAAGTGTCATGTTTGTCACTTGAAAAACTATTCAATTGATTTTGCACGTGATTACGCGGGGCATATATCATTTTCAAAGGAAAAATCGTATGTGTGTGGGCAAAAAGTGTCATTTATCGTGTCGTTTGAAAGGGCATGTGGTCATGTACGAATTTTTAACGTGATAGTTCGTTACGCGGAGTTCATGTTTTCGTATTAGCCTCAAACCCGTGACGTGGAATGGCGTGTGAACTGCACTTATCATGTACTTGAGTACTGACGCCACATTCCAGATGAAAGCACGTGTGAAATTTCTTCCCATTCTATCATTGCGTGTAGCCTTCCTCACTCACGCACATGATTTTTCACAGTTTTTTGCAAATGACACGATAAACCGCGCGAAAGAACGTGTGTGTATGCCGGCCTAAGGAACATGGCGCTTTTTTTGCCACGCCGTTCTTTCGCGCGTGCAAACCGCTACATCCCAATACGCCACGATAAACCGCGCGAAATAACGTGTGTGTATGTCGACCTATTATATCGGGTCTTCAAAAAAAAAACAATCAAAGATTGCTCTGGTTTTTTAAACGTATGTCTTAGCACTATTTTCCTTTAATTTTGTCAATGAACTTTAATGTCAAAATGTTATGTCAAAAATCCTGGCCAATAAAGAAACAATAATACGACATACGTTTTCGTATTCAAAGCAACCTTTGTTTTTTTTTTTTTGAAGACCCGATACATTAATTTAATTCACAACCAAAACTGTCAAATTTTTGGCATTTTTGACAAGTTTTTAACCTAGAAAGCTACAGATGACATTAGTTTGACATTTTTCCACCTGTTTTTAACCAAAAATATGTCACTGACTGAACCCAACATATTTTGAAATATTTGTTTATTGTCAAAAATTTGTATGGTACACCGGAAGCTCAAATTGGAGTTAATAATTTTTGTACAACTTTTTTTTTTATCGCAACTGTACATAAAAAAGTTACAGGTGGCGGTAAGTACTTTTATAACTTGACACCCGGTACCTATTCAAGCTGATTATTTACTAGATTTATCTGCTATACTTGCTCTAATTATTGCTCAGAGATCTCAGTCAAGAATTGTTTTTGTACAAAATAGAAAATAGGTACTCTGAGTCTCAGAGTACCTATTTTCTATTTTGTACAAAAACAATTCTTGACAGCTTGATGGACTAGGTCTTGGATATAATTTAATTTATCCACAAAGAAGCTAAAATAAGATGTAAATCACATAATTAAGTAATAATTTAAATAAACATTTAGTTATATACCAAATATCATTCGCAGATTTGTTAACTATGTATGTACGTATTTGCATGATTATATATTGATCACATTTGATATACTTACTTTTTTTGTATCTTCTTAGTAAAGGCCTAATAAAGGCCTTAATATAATCAAACACCCTATATATTAATATAATCAAACACCCTATACAGTACCTACCAGATAGCTACATGAAAAAATAATAATAATTGCACTGGGTAGTTTTGGCAAAGAATATAGAATTATTCGAGATTTTTCATTACATTTTCAAACTAATCTGAAATGTCCATTTCAGAAAGTGAACAAATAGGAATAGGATTAATTTATTTCTATATTATTATCCATATAATTGATGAATCATATAAACAAAAATGCCACGAAGTTGGTAAAAAAAAGGGATCCGGGTAATGTAAACTTTGGTACCTAATGTAAAATGTTTTTTTTCT